GACAGAAGCTGAAATCACCGCGAGCGTCGCACACTTTGTATGTGTAGAAAACAAAACCACGCGTATGTACCATTTACATACACAGAGACACGCAGCACATGCAGGATTCATATTTAAATAGTATTTTTGCGGCTTAATATTTACAGATACTAGTCCATATCGCGACTCTATTTAAGTGTACTGACCTACTTTTGATTAATTCATCCAAACTTTGACAAATTCCGTGACATTCTGCGTCATACAGTAAATTCCATTTATATGACTGGATTCCGTAAACATTTTCTGCATCGCGGAAATCATAGATAATATTGAGGTGTTTTGCAACTTCAGTGTAACGTTAGTGGATTGTGATTTATTGCAAATTAAGCAACGTCTGCTGCTGCCTTACCTTTGAGAGACAACTGACACATGATCACTGAAGCAGCTCCAGTTAGCAAGCGCTTTTGGAGTGAGAGTGAATTCCGCATTGATTGGTCGGACTCGTGACTCCCAACAAATCAGATGGGTGGTGGCCGGAGATTGCTTTAGGCCACAGAGTGGTGAGTTCTGTCAGGCTGCATCAGAGCCAAATAGCGCGTTTCAAAATTAAGTTATTTTATCGGCAAATCGGTTTTGAAAAGGACCGATACCGATAATCATAAACATGCTTAATATCGAATTAAGTTATTTTATCGGCGAATCGGTTTGGAAAATGACTGATGCGATAATCGTAAAAATGCTTAAAATCGGCGCCGATAATCGGTCGACCCCTACAACAAAGCATCGCTTTTAGATTAAAATGATTAAAAAGATATTTAAATTAAAGTGTGAGAACATGGTTCATCCTGACATTGATGTAAATGCTTAATTTTTTCTCATTTGTCATCTCAGAGGATGGGAAATGAGGTGGTGGAGAGTCAGCAGATTGAGCAAATCGAGATGTCTATTCAGGAACGCAAGCAGCTCATCACCACACAAGAGGAGGCCTGGAAGGTCAAAGGTTACAAAGCATCCAATGACTCCACTCAGTTTACAGTGGCTGGACGTATGGTTAAAAAAGGTCAGTGAAAACTGCACATATTGCTTCACAGCAGTGACACAAATTGAGACTTTTTAATGTATTTTTGTACTAGGTAGATTTGATGCATATAGTTTTGCTTTGTAACAGTGTTAAACTTTCTCCTCTGTTTTCTCTCTCCCAGGTCTGGCAGCCCCTTCTGTTCTCACAAATCCAGTGCTGTCCCCTCTGTCCTCTAAAAACAAGAATGCCTCCCATACCATCTCAAAGCCACATGAAGGTGAGAAACCATACTGTACTCATATTCAAGTCCAGCTTGTATCACTTCCTGGTCCCTCTACCCTTTTTTTCCAATTGTATTTTCTGTTCTCTTTCTACTATGTCTGTCATATTTGTTTTATATTTATATGTCATGTATGCATACATATGGTTATATCACTGCTGTATTTTCTTAAGCAGAGATAGAAGTCAGACAGGACATGAAGCTGGAGTCAGACAAAAAGCTGGAAAAGTTGGAGTCATTCCTTGGTCGGCTCAATAGTAAAGGTGAGTGTGATAAGAAAATATGTAATAAACTTTAAAGATGTTACATTTTGTCCTAAACTTTATTCAGTTTATTCTTAATGTTTTTATACATTTCTTAGTTTCAGGACTTCAAGAGGCCACGATTGCAGTCACAGAGAAGTCTGTTAAAGAGGTGATGACTGTGGATGATGAGATCTTCAATAAGTTTTATAGACACACAGAGGATATGGCCAAGATCACTAGCAGGGTGGAAATCAATGACGATTTTGATGCCATTTTTGGAGTGCAGTTGCCCAGGTAAAGCCAAAAGAAATGTGTAGCAATTGTGGTGCTAAAAGTGGATGTTGAAGTCGTCACTGTACAAACAGCCATATTTTTGTTTTAGAATATTAATTTGTTTATTTACAGCTTGACAAATACATTTATTTTTTTTAGATTGACTTCAGACATGGTGCAGCACAAGCGTGCAGTACGGCCAACCAGAAATGTTCAGTCATCCAAAAACCCCCTGAAAATGCTGGCCGTTCGGGAGGACATCAGACATGAGTACACAGAACAGAGACTGAATATCGGCCTTCTGGAGAGCAAGAGGATGAAACAGGAAAAGAGTGAGTGATTGAAGAAGGGTGTAGAATTTGACTACTCAGTTTATGAACCCATTTCTTTTAAATATGCACATTTATATAAGCAATATCACACTTGTAGACGTGAGATATGGCTGCATATTGGCACGGCTGTGATTTGGCTGTAGGTAATCACAGCATGCCGTTATACAGCCATATCTCACGTCTACGAGTGTGGTATTGCGTTTATACAACAGTTTGACGGCATGAGTGTGTAAATACATAAAAAATAACAACGGAGTGTCTTTAAAGCCCTCTTTTGTGCAGAACTACTTCCTCCACGGATTCAAATCTAAAGTTGACAGTTTAACAGCTGAGCCCAAGCCTCCGTTACTAATTCCAAAACGTCACTTTAGAACTAGTAACGAAGGAACATTGAGTTGCTTCATTAAAAGCATATTGTATTACTGTATTAAAAGTGGTGTATTGTGTATAGTAGAGTTTTATGAGAGAGATTGACTGAGCGATTGTGATTACCTGCATCTGATACAGCATTTATTCTTCAGATTAGTCTCATATTCACAATTAGTATGCAAATCCGATAGGCTTGTACTATATCCTTTCATCTGTTAAAGGTGATTTCTGATGACAGCGCAGCTCGGTGCATTTGTTGGCTGCATACAAACTTTTTGAAAGAAAAAATAACGTCCTTGCTCAAAACTGCACTTAAGTATTTTTCAATTGAAAAGTCTTTACTGCTGACTCGTAAAAACATTCTCTTGTCGCCATCTGATGGCGGAACAATGTAACTAAAATCACCATCACGAACACACAGACACACCGTTTCCTAATACTAAATACTACTATTATTTATATAAAATATTATTTATTGAATAATAATATTTAATAAACAAAAACAACAGCCATCATAAAAGCTGCTAGGCAATTTGGTCAAAAGTACAAAGGCAGCTCTCTGAAATACAGCATTGAAGTTACATAAACATGAGATTTTGCCAAAACTATTTGCTCTGGAACAAATAATAGCTTAATGAGACCAAAGACTGCCCATTAGATTTGCCCAAAACTAAATATATCTCATGTTTAACCACTATAGAGACACCAGAGCCAGTGGTAAATTCCAGAAGATCTGGCCGAGGTGAGGCGCTCTCTCCACGGGTTTATGAGCGCTGAATGACCGCTGATGCCCTGGAGCTTACATCTCCAAAACGTCAAAGCAAATTTTCAAATAGACATTATCTTTATTAATAAACTGCATATTTGAAGACCAAACAAGTACATTCTCGCCTAAAATTCTCTTAAAACTACACTCTGTGACACGAAACTGTATTATTTTTAAAATTATAGTGGATTTGGGCATCCGCCATGACATTCACTGTGAGAAATACGGCAACTTCGGCAAGCGGAGAGATACAAACGGTGAAACGGTGAAACGGCTGTTGGAGTTCTGTTGGACTCTATTATCGACACTCTTACCAGCCAATCAGATTCGAGGACCAGAAAGAACTGTTGTATAAAATTAGTTATAGTGTTGGAATTTCAGTCAGCCAGTGTGTGTGACAAACAGCATTTTTTAACTAGACATCTCGCTGTACAATACAAAAAAAATTCTGCACAAGGATTTAGGTGATTCAGTGAATAATTTTTTGGATCTCTTGCCACCAAACTAACACAAACCGTTCCAAATGTAAGAGTGAGGATAGTATAGCGCAATACAATGAAACACTGTTTTGAGTTACTCTCTTTTAAAAGTTAAGAGTTCATGCTCTTGCTGTCTGTCTCTGTTCTTTTCCTCTCTTTCTTAGTGAATAAGAACAGCGGTTTCTCTGAGGTTGCTCTTGCTGGATTGGCCAGTAAGGAAAACTTCAGCGGTGTGAGTCTGCGAAGTGTGAATGCATCTGAGCAGAGTTCCAACAACAGTGCCATGCCCTATAAAAAACTCATGCTCATTCAAGTCAAAGGTGAGTGATGACAACAGCTGTTTGTGATACACAAAATTTCAGCTCAGTGACAGGGTGGAGGGCTCATTTTACAGATGGCTCTGCTGATCAACATCACCCGTTCTGACCTTGTTTGGGCACAGCTTTATTCGCAACGTTTCATATAAAGATAAATGGTCTCTGATTAGCAGCTAGCCATATAGAGTATGCTGTGTGTTTCTGTTGAGACAGCACTTATTCGGCAGTGAGACAGCCATGAAATATGCTGTTTACTTAAATGTAGGAGGGAGAAACCATCTTGCGTGAGACCTGCTGCTTTTGTTATGGGGACAGCTGTTGTAGGATGTAGAAGGGCTTTGGATACCAATTCCTCATAAGGCATCACTCTCAATCTAAACCTATGTGCATGTTCCCAAAACAACATTCTATCCTTAATAAAAACAGAGAAAGAAACCAGATAGTTCAACAACAACAACATATTATGGCCAACTGTAGTAATGTTCTGTTTAAAAGGAAGTTTATGCTGATTTTAACTGTTTTCAGTGAACATTTTATAAAAGTAAACTATAACATTTCATTGTAATGCATTATATCATAACATTAGGTGTCTTGGGTTTAAAGTTCAACCAAGATTAGGCTGTACAGTCAAAGCAAATCACTTGGTTTGTTTGCAGCTGACATCAGGGCGTTCAGCATGTGACTCACATTGATAGTGTCCCAATTTCTCTGTGCATTTTAATCAGGTCGACGGCATGTCCAGACCAGACTGGTTGAGCCCAGAGCTTCCTCCTTGAACAGTGGTGACTGCTTCCTTTTGATCACATCTCATTATTGCTTCATCTGGATTGGAGAATTTGCAAATGTTATTGAGAAGGCCAAAGTGAGTGTGTCCTGATATGTACAAACAAATGCACATCACGCTATCAAGCTTTAGCATTGTTTAATATCCAGCTGTTAGCAGTATTGTTATTGGTAATTAAAACTAATAAAATTAAAGCTTAAATAAAATAAAATAAATAAATATATATTAAATTGAAATTCTTAAACTTTTATTTCAGTTGTCAAGGTAACATTTCAGTTTTCCTCTAAATTTAAGTTGGAAAAAAACCTAATAAAATGAAGAAAAAAACAACAACAATTAAAATGTTAACTAAAATTAAAATAAAAATTAAAAATAAAAGCTCATTCAGAATTTTAATAAACACTAATAGTATATAAATAATACTAAAATAACACTGGATGTTTAGTGCAAGATGTCAGTATTAGTGACTAATATAAAAATGTTCTTTTGGTTCTCAAGATTTTGTTACAGTTAAATCTGTCATATCCTGTACTCATCCGTGGTGTTTTCAGTACTATTCATATGATGGTGAGTCCCCCACGTGCAGGAAGTAAACAGAATTAACCACAAAGGAAATGTCATATTGTTGTACAGGAAGCAGGAGGTGAATTGTAAAAGCTCCTGTGTCTCTCTTACAACTTTCTATTATTGTTCAATCCAGACTGCAGGTCATTGAACTCTGAGTTTGACCTACATCTCACCAGTGATGAAATGGTTATTGTCTTAAACGAATGGAAAAGTCTTTTTAGGGGTTCAAGCGCATAACGCTGAAATCCTATTGTAATTGTTAAAATGGCCTGATGGTGACACTACTGCGATCAAAAATCGCTCAACTCCTAAACCGTTAGTTGCAGCCTCAAGTGTCTTATATCGTTGGAATCCTTGGCTCACAACGGACAAAACGCGTCTCAGATTTTTGGGTATTTTGAGTTGTGTTTTTTGTTTTTTTGTTTTTTTACCTACTTTTGCGAACCATTCCTAGTGCAGAAAGATTCTCTGGAGAGTGAATGTCAGTAATTATCAAAAAAAGTTGACTTACCGACTTTTGACTAAAACATTCGCAAGGGGCAGAGCTGCTTTTACTAAAATTTTAACTCTTGAATGGAAAAAAATACTTTCACCAAACTGGGAACACATGAAAGAGCTCAATCTGAGGTCACAATGGAAAAAAAAGTGGCACTATAACAGGAAAAAAAATACAAACATAAAACTGGCTATAACTACGCCCCCATTAGTCTGATCGATTTGAAAATTGGTATGCCATGTTTTTGTCCAAAGGGCCACAAGTGTCTATGAGGACATAAAAAAAAAAAACACTCAAAAAAACATGGCCATTGGCCGATGAATTTTGAGCATCTATTAGCCAGAGTTAACTAGTCCTAGTTTTTTCACTCAACCTCGATACAAGCACTGCAGCACGATTCTCTGAACTCTCTAAATCAATAATTATCAAAAAATGTTGAACTTTACCCTTGGGTTGCTATAATGGGTTCGTTTAGAAAAGGGGCATGTCCAAATATACCCAAAAACCTATAATTCCTAAATGAAAACTTCACCAAACTAGGTGAGCACATGCGACAGATGATTCTAAACAAGCATGCAAAGTTTTAGGTGGCGCTATAACAGCCATAAATGTTAATAAGCATCATATTTCTATGGTAAATTACCTGTAATTGACAAAAATGCTCTTTTTAATCACTGATTTAGCTGACTACAGGCTTGTTAAATAATACACAGTGTCTTTTTCCTTATGTGCTTAAATGTCTTAAAGTGCTTGAACCCTGGTTATATTATATTATATTATATTATATCATGCAGGCCGTAGAATTAGCTACGTTCATTCAGACCAAGCATGACCTGGGATGCAGAGCCTCGTATGTGCAGACCATTGAGGAAGGTGCCAACACTCACACTCATGCTGCCAAAGAGTTTTGGAAGATTCTTGGTGGCCAAGCCAGTTATCAAGGTAAGCTAATCTGTAATTCCTTCTGTTGAAGGAAGAGTGTTTAAACATCTGTATTTTTGTACTCAAGCATAAGGCATGCTGATGTTAGAGCAGTTTAATTACCTTTACATTATATTATATTATATTATATTATATTATATTATATTATATTATATTATATTATATTATATTATATTATATTATATTATATCATGCAGGCCGCAGAATTAGCTACGTTCATTCAGACCAAGCATGACCTGGGATGCAGAGCCTCGTATGTGCAGACCATTGAGGAAGGTGCCAACACTCACACTCATGCTGCCAAAGAGTTTTGGAAGATTCTTGGTGGCCAAGCCAGTTATCAAGGTAAGCACAAGCATAATAAGGCATGCTGATGTTAGAGCAGTTTAATGACCTTTACTTACCACAGTCCCTGTTAATATGGCCCTCTCTACCCTACAGTCGCTGGCACTCCAGAAGAAGATGAGTTCTATGAGAGTGCCGTCGTAGAAACCAACTGTATCTACAGGCTCATAGAGGATAAACTTGTTCCTGAAGATGACTACTGGGGTCGAGTTCCTCGATGCTCCATGCTTAACCCTAAAGAAGTACTTGAAAATACTACATATTTAATATTAGGGATGGTTTGATGAAATGAAATAAGATTTGTTTTTTAAACTTTAAACTAGCAATATATTTTATTCATATTATAAGCTACAGTCTACAAGTTTGCATGCTTGAAGTTGAAAAAATGGATTGCCTGTTTTAGGGCCTATGGTCATATTTGGTATGATTATCTTCTTTAAATATTAGCCTACTCAGGCCAATACCTGACAATTAAAATAAATTATATTCAGTTCAATTATAAATATATTGTACATCTCTGCTAAACACTCTGTTATATAATATGAACTAAAGTAAGGCAAATTCAAGTTTAAACCAACTTTTTATTCTTGTTTGAAATCTAGGTGCTGGTGTTTGATTTTGGTAGCGAGGTCTACGTATGGCATGGTAAGGAGGTGACGCTGGCACAGAGAAAAGTGGCGTTTCAGCTGGCAAAGCACTTGTGGAATGGCACCTTTGACTACACCAACTGTGATATTAATCCTCTGGACCCTGGAGAGTGCAATGCACTTATACCCAGGTACAAAACGAAACGGAGTATGTTTGGCTGTGCTGATGCGTACTGTTCCATCATAAATCAAGTTTTGGCACTTGTGACCTTTTAAAGCTCATTCACACAGGCCTTTCAGGTCAGAATTGTGCTGCTATTGCTTAACTTACTACCCCTGTCAAAACAGTAGCTTAGTATCAGTGTTCATAAACTGCCAGCATAATTTCTGAGACCTGATGCGTATCTCCTAAAATACATAAGTGCTGTGTTCACATCTCATGGTTTTGTTTCGTTCTATTCTTATGAATTTATATAGAGTAGTTATATACAGATTTGTATAAAATCTTTATGAAATTAAAACAATTATAGAATCTTTTCTGAATCTGTTATTCATAGGAAAGGCCAGGGACGACCAGACTGGGCTGTGTTTGGCAGGTTAACTCAGCACAATGAGACTATTCTTTTTAAAGAGAAGTTTTTGGACTGGAGTGACTCCAAGAAATCCGCTAAGAAGAATGGTGACTCGCATGCTGAAGAAAACAAGGTAGACTCGCCCAAAATAAGTTACTAAATTAGAATCATATACTTCAGAATATATTTAAAATGTTCCAAAACGTCAAATAAAATTGGTTGGTTAATTTCTTTAGGAGCATCGGGGTGGGGAATGCCGGCCATACGGTGCATCATTGATGTTGACGACAGTACAAACGCCAGTCAAGACCGTTCTGGATGGGGTCGATGTTGGACGAGGTTATGGATTGGTGGAAGGTGATGAGGGGCGTAATTTTGAGATCAGCACATTATCTGTTGATGTCTGGCACATTCTAGAGTTTGACTACAGGTAGGATGGATCATTTATTTGTTAAGGCTGTTAAATTAATGGGGTTTCATTATACAAACTCTCTCTCTCTCTTGCTTGTTCTAGTCGTCTACCCAAACAGAGCATTGGTCAGTTCCATGAAGGAGACACATATGTGGTAAAATGGAAGTACATGATCAGTACAGCAGGTGAGTTGTATGTTTGAGGCGCGCATTGTAATGTTGTTTTGTCAACTAAAATATAAAAATAAGTATTCAGTAATTGAAATAAAACCTTCTATATTCAAATGCTCTCATATGTATTTAATTTTGTGAAACCACAAGATATAGTGTTTCTGAAAATGTTGTTTGACCATGATCCAAAACTCTCTGCTTTTTTGTACAGTTGGCAAGAGATTGCATTCAGAACGGATCATCGGTCCAGGGAAGGAGAAATTTTGTTATTTCTTCTGGCAGGGACGCAACTCCACTGTGAATGAAAAGGGAACCTCAGCACTGATGACTGTAGAGCTGGATGAGGAGAGGGGTGCTCAGGTATTCACTATAGATCATCTTATACTTTAAAACTCATTTTAGGATGTTCTTAAGCCTTTTCTCCACTGCTGTTTAAAAGTTTGTGGTCTGTAAGATTTTTTTTTTATGTTTTCGAAGAAGTAGTCTCTTATGCTCACCAAAGCTGCATTTATTTGAATAAAAAATACAGTGAAACGGTAATATTGTAAAATATATTTCACTTTAAAATAACTGTTTTCTATTTAAATATTAAAAAATGTATATATTTGAAGTTGTATTTTTTTTTTCTGTGATGGCAAAAATGAATTTTCGCATGATCCTTCAAGAATTATTCTAATATTTTTGGCTGGATTCTGAAGGAACATTTGTTATTATTATCAATGTTGGAAAGAGTTGTGATGCTTAATATTTTTGACATGTTTTTCAATATAACAGCATTTATTTGAAATGAAAGTATTTTGTAAGAATAAGTCTGTTTAACATGATGCTTGTTATGCAGGTCCAGGTACAGCAGGGAAAGGAGCCTCCTTGTTTCTTACAGTGCTTCAATGGAGGAATGATTGTTCATGCTGGAAAGAGAGAAGAGGAGGAAGAAAATGCACAAAGTAATCTTTTTGCTAGCTTTACCACACACTGTTTATATTTTACATGATTTTACATCTTGAAAATCATATTTTGAACAGATTACTTCTTACAGACTTGACTCGATTTCCCTTATTTTTTACAGATGACTGGCACTTATACTGTGTGAGAGGAGAGAAACCCCTAGAGGCCCATCTGCTAGAGGTCGTGTGCCACTGCAGCAGCTTACGGTCTCGCACCTCTGTGATCCTCCTGAACATCCCAAAAGCCAGCATGTACTTGTGGCATGGCTGCAAAGCACAGATGCACACACGTGATGTGGGTCGTACCGCTGCCAACAAAATTAAAGAGCAGTAAGTCAACTCGCATGCAAACAAACAAACGGCACTTCATGTCAAAAAGGTTGCAGACCCCTGAAGTAGACTTTCTGGTCTCCAGGTGTCCTCTGGAGGCGGGGCTTCACAGCAGCAGTAAGGTGTCCATCCAGGAGTGTGATGAGGGAGCTGAACCACAGGGCTTCTGGGAGGCCTTGGGAAGAAGAGATCGAAAGGCGTATGACTGCATGCTGCAGGGTGAGCAGAGAAGCATGTGTCTGTGTGTTTGCATGCTGATGTGCGGGTGATTTACAGCATTCCTGCGGAACCTTAAGCAGTCTTAAATTCAGTATGATCAATTTAAGGTTATAAAAAGTCTTAAATATATTAAATAGTACAACAAAGGTTTTGAGAAACTGTTCACCAAAAATGAAAATTGTCATATTTTGCTCACCCTCAAGTTGGAACTATTCACTACTCCTTTTATTATGATTTTAAGCGATCTTACATTTGGAGACAGGAACGCAGGAATTGTGATACAGCCTAATGCGATTATTAAACTAAATGTGAGTGCTGCACGTTTCAAAATAAAAATGCAGTGCTGTTGTACATTTTACAGGTTCATTGTTTCAGAGGAGTTCACAATCAATGAATACTGCACATTTATGCAAAGCCATTGCTTATGATCTATTAGCAATGTTTACTTTATAGTGTTTGTTTTTAATATGTTGTTGATGTAGATATTGTATTTTATCTCCCTCATTTTTTTTGAATGAGCAGCTGTTAATTGTGGTGCATATGCATTTCAAAATAAGAGTCTCAAACTTAAAACTTCAAAAAGTCTAGCATTAGGCATACATTTTTTCCTGGATGTTATTGGTATATTGGTTACATAATAAACTGTATCCAACATTTAGTTCAATATAAACTCTTACCTCTTCTTTCTGGGCCACCCTATGACAGGAAGGTGAAAACTAACATTGTCACATTCAATATATAGATTTTTTTTAATCAGCACAGTCTGTTAATTGTCTTTCTTTAAACACATTATTAGCAAAATCCAGCATTGATTAACTTCTAATTCGAATGTACTGATATTAGTACATAAACTAAGTTTAATACATATGTACTGTATATATTAAATAAGACAAAACTATTTTAAACTTGCAGACAGTTACCCTGTTTTGCGGTCGAATATGTGCCAGTTTACATTAAAGAGATGTGATTTATTTTGAGATTGTTTGGATTTGCGCTAAATGGACATATAGTATTATTTTTATTTGTGCGTGTCTTTAAAAAGATACTGTTGATTCATGTGTTTTGTCATGCTTCTCAGATCCGGGAAAGTTCAACTTCACTCCCCAGCTGTTCCAGTTAAGCAGCACTTCAGGAGAGTTTGTGGCAGTGGAGTTTGCGTATCCATCTAGGGAACCAAATTTGGTCAACTCGATGCCTTTCCTACAGGAGGATTTGTATACAGCTACTCAGCCAGGTGCTTGACATATTCATGTTCACTAAACACTGTTAAGAGTGCTGTCTGATGTAACTTGTTAACTTGCACTGTTAGGTATTCTGGGTGGGTATCAGTTGCACTTTAATTAGGCTTGTCTACGCTCATTACATGCATAATGTATTAAGGAAATTTGATTCTTCACACTGATTTAAAAATCATGAGATATGTCTGTGGCAGTGTCATGATGTCTCTACTTGTGTTTGATTGTCTTTTAGCCCTGTTTTTGGTGGATAATCACCATGAAGTGTACCTTTGGCAGGGCTGGTGGCCTCAGGACAGTGAGAGCATGGGATCAGCTCGCATACGATGGGACTCTGACAGGAAGTGTGCCATGGAAACAGTACTCCAATATAGCAAAGGTGACTTAAAAAGACACACCGGTCTTTAATGGTGTTAGGAAAGAAACAAGAATGATATTGTTTAATAAAGCATGATATGTTGACTTTCTAGCAGCTCCCCGTTTAAACTTCTTAGAGGTGGGCAAAATGACAACAATAAAAGATTTTGATTGAAAATTACTTATATTGTTGAAAAGATTTTGGTTGATAATTGATGATTTGGTTCAACCACAGTGCAGAACAACACAATATAGTAAGGAAATCAGAGATATTTTATTTGAAATGAATTCATATTAAAACCCTTTTGCCCGGTTTCACAGACAAGTCTTAGTCCCAAACAAAAATGCATGTTTGAGCTGTCTTAACTACAACACCTGATCATATTTTCATAATACTTTTTGAGAGTTACTTACTCTCCCTTGGAACAAAACCAACCATATTTAAATCTCTCAATAGAACAATACCGGCCAATATTTAAATCCTAAATTAAATCTGTTCGTCATATAAAGCGGTCGTATAAATTCACAAGACTTCACAAAACTGCTCGATTCATATGGATACATTTTATGATGGATATCATGTCACAATAAAAATTTGTGGTTCAAAGATTAACGAAGTGATACAGGTTGACAAGTATGAACAACTTTCTGAAAAGCAGCTATGAAATGATGTGTATTGTAAAAAGATTTGACTTCAATTTTATAAATTTGACTTAATATCATTTTGAAATGAATTTCTCTTGAACATATATGTGAATGGTTTTATAACATACAAAGCTGCTGTGCTCATGGGGATGTAAGTTCAAATCCGAACTGCATTATTTCCCAGTTTTTTTGTATCATTTTTATTTTTTATTTGTTATCATTTTTATTGTAATTTAATGTTTTGACAATATAAAAAAAAGCATGCAATAACATCACGTTGCTTTTGGTTTTATAGAGAAAAATGAGAAAAAAACTCCCAAATCATACCTGATCCATGCAGGACTTGAGCCTCTTACTTTCACTAACATGTTTCCCAGCTGGGAACACAGAGAGGACATCGCTGAGATCACAGAGAGGGTGAGAGAGAAAGTTTAATCCACATACCACGTTTGTGTTATAAGAATATGGTTTAAAGATTTAGTTGTTTTCTGTGATTTATAGGAGGCTGAAGTATGTAATCAGATCATTCTGGTTGAAGAAGTCTTGACTAGACTCTGCAAGACCACTTACCCACTTGCTGATCTTCAAGCCCGTCCACTACCAGAAGGAGTTGACCCTCTGCGTCTTGAGATCTACCTTTCAGATGAGGACTTTGAGGTGAGAAAAATCACATTAACAATGAGGTTTCAAAAGATTACTCGGTTGATTGTTTCGGTAGCGTTTAAGTTTCATTAGTTGTGCAAAAAAGCCTAACTTTATAGTTCTGGACGATTTAAAGTATTGTATGATTTTGAGACATTGAACAGGGATATTACTGAAGTGTATCTGTTCTGTAACATCTGTCTGCCTGTGTGTGCTCATATGTTCTGTCTTTCAAGTACTACCTACTTTTATTTTGCCTTTTTTACCCTTCATCTATTTCATGTTTCTCCTTCTGCTCCCACTGTCATCTTAAAGCAGCCTCTCTTAACCTGTCTCTCCCTGCATCTTTTTGCTTTTCCCCTTTTTGCTGGTGTAGTCTTGCGTCTGATGAGGTTAATTTTTCCCTTCACATGCCAGGGTGTAGGGGCTTCTGGGAAGGTGAGTTTTGTTTCATGAGGAACACTGGTGTTTTCTCACTAATGCCGCATCCTCACTGTGTGAACTGCATCACTGTGTGCTTGTGTATCACATGCCATGGCACAAGCCACCTAGTATCTAGCAGCATGTGGGTCACTGTTCACCACTGTTATCTCACTGATTCTCTAGGTCTCACACATGGGGGTGAATTTTTCTTGGATGTACACTATGGTCCAAATGTTTGGGGTCATTAAGTTGTTGTTTTTTTTTTTTTTTTTAAAGAATTTAATACTTTTTTTTTTTTTCAGTAAACATGCATTAAATTAATTAAATGTGAGTAAATACATTTTTTATTTTCTATTTTACATTTCTATGTTACAGAGGATTTCAATTTCAAATAACTGCCTTTTTTAACTTTAAAAACATAAAGCAGTTTTGAAAAATGTATCACAGCTTACACAAAAATAAACAAATATAAAATTAAGAAGAATAATTTCAGCTGTGTTAATAATAAATGTGTCTTGAGCACCAAATTGGCATATTCCAAAAGATCATGTGACACTAGAATGGAGAAATGGTTACTGAAAATTTAGTTTTGCCATCACATAAATAATTACATTTTAAAAATAGTTATTTTAAGTTGTAATAATTCCACAATTATTTTATTTATTTTATTTTATTTTATATTTTTTATTTTATTTTATTTTATTTTATTTTATTTTATTTTATTTTATTTTATTTTATTTTATTTTATTTAAGACTTTTTTTTTTTTTTTCAAAAACAAGAAATCATACTAACCCCACACTTTTCAATGGTAGTCTTCTTTAATTTAGGCATGTGCTAATAATACAATTGTTAATCCAGTAATTATTTTCATGTTATGGCATATAACAATAACCACATTTTTCTAAATTAATAAAAAAAAAAAACTAAAATATACTTTTTTAAATGGGCATCACAACATTATAATATACTGTATAAAAACTTAATATTCATTTTGATTAGATTCAACAGTGTTTTTAAATTATTGTTTTTATTAGCTTTGAGTGTTAGATGATGGCAAAGGTCATTTAAATGTAACAATGGGAGAAATGAGCATGAGCAATTAAAAATATTCAACATTGATTTTGACTATAAATTAAAAAAAAAAAATTCTAATATCAGCTAATAACAGAATATGGTACAAGTGAATTGTGCATCCCTAAATTAAATACTTTGTACTCTAATATTGTTCCCATTTTTGGATTGATGAGTGGCAGTGACCAATATCCTACAGCTCTTGTGTTTGTGTGCGTGATCGTTCATCCATTTTGTTCAGCACCTCAGAGTCTTGAGTATGATTAACACTTGTGTGTCACCTGCATGCGTTTTTAAATCCCTACACTTAAAATTATATATGTGTGTATGTTCTCTGCAGAAAGCATTGGAAATGACAAGAAGTGAATATGAGGCACTGCCAGGGTGGAAGCAAGTGAATGTGAAGAAAGACAAAGGACTGTTTTAAAGGAACTTCTGACTGGGATTGAATCTGAAGTGGAGACCTTCTCATTCCTTTTGATCCAGACAGGACAAACGCAAGTGAAGATCTACCTGTGTCAAACCACACAGGGAGGTGAAAAGGGGCTGGATGAAGGAGAAAAGAAACTGATGGGCAGGGGTTTAGCAGCCTCTTGTAGCACATTTCTCTCCCATTTTCTCCTTTTTTTTTATCAGTGGATTAGCAAGTTTTGTTTTCTTGTTGAATGTTTTGAGTGCTCCCCAGCATCTTATCCTTCCCATTGTTCTGCATTGCTGTGTCCACATAAAGCCAGTCACCGTCCAACATGCACAAGGCAGCCCTCATGCACTGCCCAGCTTTATATAAAGACCTAATAAATGAAAAATGCCTTTGTTATCTTTAAGCTCAAAAGAGCACTTTATGTAAGTACGTTCATACCTGCTCTCATAAATGGCCTCAAGATGTGTTTGAACCTTCCAGATAGATGCTTGAACTTGAGAACCCTATGTGTGTGTGTGTGTGTGTGTGTGCGCATGAGAGTGTTTGTGAATCTATACAGTGTGTGCGTCTCTTCAAACAGGATTGAATGAAACTGTGGAATAAGAGAAAATCTCTTTCTATTCTGCGTTGTATAGTGCCTTGCCTTCATGTACAGTTTATATAAAGACAGATGCTAGTCTGCATTTTGAAAACACATTTGTGATATAAATAAATAAATAATGGTGCAAATAAACACTGAATAATGTAGATAATGAAAATCTTGTCTGGTGCTTTGTTCGCAAATCAGTTTTGATCATTTGAAATCAAACTCATAAAATCACGATCATACTCGAGGTTTTAGCACTATGCATGTATGATTTTGATTTTGGTAATGTTTTGTTTGACATGCTGTGTCCCAATTTGCATGCTATCAAATTAAATTATATTAAATGGTATTCGAAATTAGATTTGGCGTGCCCCAAATCGTAGTATGTTGAAATGAGTGTCCTAAAGTTTCATGAATGGTTCATTATTGTCAGTGAAAATTCAAAGTGCAGATCCATGCACTATAAATATATGAAACAAACCATATTTTAAACTGGCAAATGTGAAGTCTCTCGAAGGAATGCGAAATGCTACTGAATAATAAAGTTCGGCGAGCGAACGCACATTTCTCAAGGGAACGTAAAAGAGCCAATGTACATTTGTGTTAGTAAATGTAACATTTCTGGGGGGGAATGCAAATGATTAAATAAACTTTTCCATCAACATGTAATTGTAGGGGCTTCATGGTTTTCCACAGCCAGTATGTACTACAAAAATAACTTGGCAACCATTTAAAAGCTCTTTAGGAATAGAATTCCTGTTTGTTGAACATGCTTTATTGTGGTAATCTTGTTTTACAGCTTTACGTTCATGTTCTCAATGTACCAATTATGTAGTCATATAGTAGTGGTTGTATCAAATAATGAACCCATTTTAAAGATAAAAAAAAAAAATCCAACAATACATTAGAGCAGCAGAGGGCGCTTTTATTCCACAAGTGAAAGTGATTAGTATTGCATCATCCCAGAATGGCCTATCATAAGGGAAACCGTGTAAAATATCTGAATATACATTTGCATTATCTCGTTCTCTTTTTTTTTTTCTTCAACTTGCCATATTTCTGTATAGATCCATAATTCACACAAATAAAAATTATATAAATTGCCTTTTAAATCTCCATAGTTTTTGTATCTATTAATCTTTACTCTAACACAGTTCTTATTTTAGGAATACCCATGATAAATGACAAAAACTGAAAGTAGTTTAAAAAAACAACTGAGCACTGCCATAAGTCCACAAGAGCACAATTAGGACACCAGGAGTGGAGGTTTTGAACTTGTCAGGTCAAGTGGGATTTAGAAGTCACATGATCCAATCAAAGTCAGGGCTAAAAATGGTGTATGGCCAAGGAGCCGCTTCCTGTCTGTCCGACTGAGGATTGAGGACATGCCTACATCTCCGACAACAACTCAGATACAAATGTGCAACCACTGTACACTATAGTGTACAATAGCCATTGTTGCAATTCGTATGAACATATTTGATCGTAACATTAACATGCATTTTGTATGCATGTTTGCAAAGTGTAAGGGGGGTAAAAATAGCACATGAATATTCTGTTATATGATATGCATTCAATTACTCGTCATTTCAGGTGCTCTATTCTCTGTTACAACTGACATAGCACCATATTTTAGAGACTGGCAACAGGACCTGGTTAATCCAGGATCTCATTAACAATACCCATGATCAGGGCAGACAAATCTGCTTTACCTGGAATGCAATAAACCTCCAGGCAAAGAATCTGATTGGCTGAATGGTAAAAGGTCACTGCGTGTGATTAGCTGGAATTTCTATACTGAATTTCCTATTGGTTGGAAAAGACGTAGGGTGTGTGGTTGATGGGTAATAAATGACCTTGAGGAACATCGAGCTGTGGGAATGTAGTGTACTTTTATTTTCTCTGCCATGAATCTTCTCATTTTGTGTTGACCTGGAGGTCTCTGTCAAGATTAAATATCTGTGAGAAACTGGAAATCACTTGAGAGCAGAACACAACATGAAACATGAGACAAATTGAATTAAACTGTTAGGTTAAAGGCCCATTGAGCTACAGAAATGCACACATCTTTGTACAACTGAGAGCTCATTCATATAATGAGAATGAGAGCCGCTGCGGGGTGACTGCACAGAACACTCTTCCCGTCTTCTGCTGTGACAGTAGGTCAAGTGAATTGTAGTGCACTCAGTCAGTACACAAGGAAGGAACCAAAGCGGATTTAAGTTATCTCGTTAGTATCATTGGCTCGGATAAACTGTTGAAACAAAGTGAAGGGCCCTATATACAAACAAAGCTCGCATCATGCGGATGTTCTCAGCATTTCTGTGGTTAAAGGACATGTTCATTTTAGAAAACGAGCAAGAAAAGGGAAGGTTTTCCCAGCTAACTAAAGTGACACACTCAAAAACGTCAGTGTTTTTTAAATGATTCATGCTCACATACTATATACTATGAGCTAACTGCAAAAACGAACTGTCCTATACCAAAACTCCAAGGACTATGGGATTCTCTTTCGCTGATATGTATTTTTATGAAAAATAAATAAATAAAAACATTAACATTTTCTAAATAAAAAAATATAATTAAAAAACGTAATTATATATATATATATATATATATATATATTGTTATACATAACAGCCTATTAATGTGACATTTATTATTTTATGTAGGCCTATTTTTTTGCTTTTTATTTTACACTTTATGAAAATTACAAATTAATTTAGTGTTAACTTTATTTTACATTTTTTACCATTACATTTATGAATTTATTTTATTTTTACGCTTTTGAAATGTTCCCTTTTGACAACATTGCTAACAGGCCACATTGTTATTGCTGAATGTGCAGGTGAACACCGGTAGGGGGCGCGACGCTCACGGCTCATTGTTGCACCCGCCGGTGTGTGTGTGTGTGTGTGTGTGTGTGTGTGTGTGTGTGTGTGTGTGTGTGTGCACGTGTGTGTGTGTGTGCGTGTGCGTGTGCATGTGCGTGTGTGCGTGTCTGTCCGTGTGACTCGTAATATGTCAAGAGAGTGAGGGGAGACTTCTCTATTTGTAGATGACTGAAGCTAATGTGTTTAACACCAGAGGTCAGAAAGACAGAGATCTGTCGAAGAAACAAGTTTTGATCTGAAACCCGCTCCACAACACCGGCACATATGCGAAAGTAGCGGATTTTGTGAATAAAACAAAGATTTGTCAAGCGAACTTCTGTCAAGAGGGGAAGGAAATAAGCCGGACACGTCAGAAGAGGATATTTCTTTTTGGAAATCGTAATATGAAAAAGGAGCAGGCCGAGATAATAGGTTTTGTCCCTCAGAAAGAGCTCGTCTACAACAAACTTCTCCCGTACGCAGACAAACTAGACCGCGAATCCAATGACATTTTGGCCCAGATTAAAGGGAACTTGGGTCGAGCTGTCCAGCTCCGTGAGTTATGGCCCGGAGTTTTACTTTGGACTCGGAAACTCTCCACGTAAGTACATTCAAGACTCCAAAACTGATTTGCTTTGGGAATTGAGCCTGTTTTATTAATAAACAGCAGGGAGAGCTGAATTACTCCGGTAGCTTGTAACGTTAGCCCTTAGCTAGCGAGCTAAAAGCTAAGCGCTACCTGAGTCACTCAGCTGGCCTTGCTCATATGTAAACATCACATATCTATCTGCTGGTACTCCACGATGACCTTTCATAATATCGAGAGTAATATTACTTCGGTCTGGTTCGTCAGCGTGGCTTCAGTCGGTAAAATGCAGGAAATGCAGGACTGTTGTAAGCTCATTTCTAAGCTAATCAGCTAACGGAGGCTAACATTAGTGCCGGATAAGCAGCTGCCACATGCATCACTGCAACTAGTGGTTTAGACATGGAGTCATTAAAAAGACATTTTACTTGGAGGAGACTGCTTAAATATTTGTTTCATGCCTTTATGGTTTGCCTTAATCATTTCGATCTATTTTAGTATGTTTCTTATTGGCACTTCAATGTGATTCATGATTTTTTTTGACCATGTTGAATAACAGACACATGTATATTAAACCTTATTTATGGATATAAGGGGTTATTGTTCTATTCAAATATTTAAGTTTTATGATGCATTATTTAATGACACTTAAAGTCTTACATAAGTTCATGCTGCATAGCATGTTACCCCTTAGTTGTGTTAAGTGTATTCCTAGTGGTTTTGACTGCTGTAGAATTTCCGTAGAGTTTGTATTACACTAAATACTTGACAATATCTCTGCTTAAATGGGCAGTGTGTTTACAAACTTAATTCCTCATCTATTTGGCTTCTTAGCTCATCATCAGATTAAATTCAAGGGATTTGTATTCATAGTGGGCATGTTGTGTAGAATTGAATATAATATGCGGTTCAGTGAGCGAGTGAGTCATTTGAGCCGATTCAGTGAAGAAGTCAGTGATTTTTTTCAATTGTAATAATGTAATAATTGTAGCTGTATAGGTGTGTGTTTACAGATGTATGTGTGTGCGTTTACAGTTGTATGTGTGTGCGTTTACATATACTCTGCAACTATTAAACTGTAGTACCCTTGAAAACAGTATGGGAGAGCAGAGGAAACTGCCAACTTAAAAACATAATAATAATAAAAGAAATAAATAAAAAAGACCCAAATGGGAATAAGTCTGAGCTTTTAACGTTTAGTTGACTGTTTATAAAGGCTCTCTTATATAATCTATTTTGAGGACCCATTTCACTATTTATGCCATGCTAGCCTCACTCCGCTTTAGTCAGAGTCACAGCTCTCTCTGTTTGTCTCATGATCACATGGTGGCCTTCGCGGTTACATATTTAGTGATAAGGTCAAAAGTGCCCCACAGATAACACATACGCTTTGCAGAATCATACAAAATGCATGTTATTTTTTATTTATTATTGACCTGAATAAGATATTTCACATTAAAGGTGTTTACATATAGTCCACAAGAGAAAATAATAGTTGAATTTATGAAAAAGACCCCGTTCAAAAGTTTGCATACACTTGACTCTTAATACTGTGTTGTTAACTGAATTATCCACAGCTGTGTTTTTTTGTTTGTTTAGTAATAGCTGTTCATGAGTCCCTTGTTTGTCCTGAACAGTTAAACTGTACTAAGTACTAAATAAAAAGTATGCAAAAAAGCATTTTGTATGATCTCTGTTATTTTGGTAAAATAATTAGCCTAACATTTTGCAGATTCTGCAAGATGTATGTAAACTTGTGTATATCAACTTTATATATATATATTTCTTCCACCCAGGCTTTCCGAATAGTCACTGTATTATTATTGTATTGTATTAAATATTATTGTATTATAATACTACTAGTTATTTTGGGGTGGTGGATGCTCACTTTCATATTTGGTGGTTTATTATTGCTGTATTGTGTTGATTTAACAATAAACTTGAAATGAATTAAAATTTGTTTTAGAAATAGTGTGCAATCTCTAGACTTAGTTTTGGTTTAGTGAATCATGCTGTTTCTCTCTTGCTCTTACCATTCTGACATGATCTCTGCTCTTTTATAGGTACCTTCGGCTGTACGGGAGAAAGTTCAGCAAGGAGGACCATGTGCTCTTCATCAAGCTTCTGTACGAGCTGGTCACCATCCCCAAGCTGGACATCAGTATAATGCAGAGCTTTGCACGACTCCTCATCAACTTACTGAAGTACGCAGAAGTGTCCCCATCAAACACCTGACCATTGCCACACATTTGAGAATTACACAGTAGATTTGTTGTTGGATGATTAAAATTATTATTTACATGAATGAAAGATTAATTGTTCAAAATAATTATAATGAAATTCCATATAAAAATCAAAATATAAAAATAAAACAAGGTAATTCAAATGAAATCAAGGTAATTAAAAGTTTATTGTTATTATATGAGAATGTGTTGTTATTTCCATATAATTGAATACAAGGCCCTGGCTTTGATTAATGCATTATTATTATTATTATTAATGATAATATAGAATTATAATTTAGTTATGTTTTAATTATAATTTGTTATAATTTAGTGAATTCCTAATGTTTCTGAACACACTTTTTTTTTTAACATACAGGAAGAAAGAACTGCTGTCCCGGGATGACTTGGAAT